GTGTAAGTTCATCCGGGGCTCAACTTCGGATCAAATGGCAGAGGATGTCGCAACCAATGGTAGCATGCTGGAGAACTTCGGGTACTGCTGGAAGTCTCTGCTTGAGTGTGAAGGCACTCTGGTGGACATGGTGGGCCTCATTTCCAAGAAAATCTTGGAGGTTCGGTGGCGTCCCAACCAAACCCGTTTTCAATGCCTGCAGTCAACAGCCCATGATACATGTTGCAATGCAGTCCACAGTGTCCACACACCAAACTTCAGCTGTGGGTTCTTTTATTTGCTGTGTTGAATGATTGTTTGACGTTTGCCATTGGGAAAGTGTCATGGCCTCGTGCGATTCAGGCGCCAGACTACCTGCTGATCAAGTTCTTGCAGCTTTCAGATAGCAAGATGTGTGCTGTGAATCTCCAAGCACTTTTTACCACTCCACCTCATGAACACCGGAGTGATGGCTTTCACACGTGCCTGCGGAAGGCCCAGCACACTGGAGTGGAGCACATGTTCGACCGGCTGAAGCAAAACAATAGTGTTGCTTGGGCCAAGTCATCCTTCGACCCAAAGCTGAAAGACATTGACTTCGATGATGACAAGCGATGGTTTCTTGACTCACTCAAGACAGTTACCCTTAACATAGCGCGCGCGCACACACAACCAGCGGGGTGTATGTTACAGCTTCACTCCGCATGCTGCATGCTATCAGAAATCAAAAGTTCTTAACCTCATGGACCATAACGCGTTTTCTTGTTGGTAGTGACATGCAGTGACACTAAATAACTGCAGGGCAAAGTAGCATGACTTGTGACTGAGGAGTGGTTCTCAAACATGCAACTTCAACTAAAAGTGGCACAGGCGCATTTTGTGCCAGCCAGTCTATGACGATTATTTTGACGTGACCCATCCTAATCTTCATAACATAACTCATAACTCATAACTGAATGTTTGGCCTGTGGTCAATGGTCCAGGGTCTATGTCGCAGGGCTTACTTTTGCACCAACTTTCCCGTACTGAGGTTGCCCATGCCAAGCGAGACAAAGATAAACGACTTTGCCAACGTGAGTGGGTACACTTGCGGGAACATGCGAGACTTCCAGAAGATTTTTGCATGCCTCGACATGGAGGACGGTGGTCATCAGGATTCCAGCTTCTTGCGCAAAGTCGCCAATGCGGGAAAGGGCAAGGGTGTCTTCAGCACCAAGCTCACATTGGCAATGTCGCAAAGTGCTTGGAGGCTTTCGGAGGGCATTGTTGAGTGATGCGTTGATTTCTGTGAAACTGTCCAAACAATGGCAATGCCGAAACAAATTGCTGCGTACTACTTAGTCACTACCGACTTTCCAAATAATATGAAATGATATGGAATGCAACATATCATATACTGTATAGTGGGTGTGTTCTGTTCGCAGAGTGTTTGTCAAGGGGGTTGGGGTAGGGTAGAGTAGGGGAGGGTGCGGCGGTTGGGTTTGTGTGAGTGGAGTGTTCTGGGAACTGAGAACCTGTCAGAAATGATCAGAAATGACTACAATGAATGACTTCGGCCTGTTATTGAATTCCAATAACTTGGCACGCACGGCATGGCTACATGATACATGGTTGAAGTTCTAGCGGAGAAAGGGTCACGGCCCGGGCCACTGCAAACGAGCATATGCAGCATATGATAAAAAGGCTACTGATGATGTGTTTCTGTTTAAGTCTAATTTCATTGAACCCTTGACTTATTTTAGGTAGTCATATCAATGCTAAGGGCTGCTAAGGTGATTCATTCTGATTCATATTATCATTATTATCATTATCATATTAAATTAAAATTATATTCTCATATTCTCACAGGTTCTCACATTGATTCGTTGTATAGTGTATACTTTTGCTGACTGGCTGGTTCTGATGACAATCCGGCCCGGAATCCCATTCCATATATCCCGAAGTACAGCTACAGCCACAGCCTTGCAACTTACACCTTACAGAGGAGAACGACATTAGACTATACGGTACGACACTATGACTCTGACTATATAATTCATACACTTAGCAAACTGGTCAAACTCATGGTTTGGAAGTGTGTTCGCCAACTTTGGTCAGTTCCCCTAGCCAGGCAATTGTGGAGCAAAGTGCTTTCAGCGCATCGAGAAGTTGCTGCCACCGCACTGACTTTGAAGCAAGCTTCGAGTCTTGCTGACACTGCCAAAACCTTGGCAAAGACGGAGCCATCCTCCATTTTATCAGCAAGTTGGGATGACTTGATGAACCATGAAAAGCTTGTGAAGCAGTTGGCTGCCAGGGGTGCCGTTGTTCGGCAGCTGGAGGCGGCTACTGATGTTCAAGGAAGCGCTGATGCAAAGGCGGCACTCCAGGATGCTTGCACCCAGTTAGCTGAATGGGCGTCCAGCCAGCTTTGCCCAGAGTTCGAGAGCATTTTGGCTTCCCTTCAAAGCTGGGCTGCGGAGACCATCCAGCTCGACATGACGACTTCAAGCTTTGATGACAGTGTGCAAGCGTTTCCAAAGGAGATGTTCACGATTCCTGACAGTGTGGACAACAGTTTCTTGCTAGCTTGTTTCTTGGCCAGTCAACACTATGAATGGAAGTAGTTGAGAGTGGGGGACAGTCAGGTGTTCAGGTGTTCAGTTTCCAGGTGTTTTTATAACTTATTGTAATTTATTTATAGTTTAATATCTTATAATTATGATGACCTTTCACTGTCCTAGTCCGAGTCCTTTCGTCCTACCATACTCCCTGATAATCGACCATCCATGCCCATGCTTTCTAACATTCACCATTTGAAGCATGAGGCAGGACTGACAAACATGTGACGTGGGTATGATCAATTCTGAATTCTGCATTCGAATCCTTAAAGATGTAATTAAGTACTTTATATTATATTACTTGAGACTTTCAACGTTCAACTGTTTTTGCATGGCTTTCTCATTCAAGATGAAACAATGTGGGATCATGTCCAAAAACTATTGTTTGCCCAGGTATGATCAAGGGAGCTACCTCGACGTCACCGGAGTCTATGATGGCCAATGGGATAGCGAAGTTTGCCTTGAGTGCTGGCTTCCAAAAGAAGCTCTTTCCAGATGATTGCTTTCAGAAAGATGGGGAGGATGGGATGTCCTTGTTGAAGCTCGCCTCCGAGTACGTCTCCTATCTCAAACCCTTCTTGAAGCCCGTCCCATCCCTCCCTGAAGATTCTCTGCAGTCTGAGATCGGCAAGACTTTTGACGCCATTGGCGGCTTTCTTGACCGATTCCAACATGTGAAGGTGAGAAAGGTTCTCGAGACAATGTTCAGGTTCCCAGAGTCAAAGTATGACATCAACAGGCTGCTCCCGAAAGAAGTCCAGCCCATTGCCCACACAATCCTAACTTGGCAGAATGTGGGTCAAGAGCTCAAGGAGTTGGGTGAGGCAGAGCACAGCTGGACCTTCTTGACTAAGAAGCTCAGCCTTTTCGAGAGTCTGTCAGCCGCCGTGAATGACAAGTTGATGTCAGCCACGGTGTTTCAGGATGCAAAGGACCAATGCAATGCATATGTGAAGTCCTTCATCGAGGCATGCCAATTGGCACTCACAGAGATTGGGCCCGGCTTGGCTGAGCAGCTCAAAGGATTCATCGAGAAGTACCAGAAGGTTGGGGAATGTGCAGAGAGCTGGCAAATGTTGCCAGTGAGTTACGTATTTGAGCCTGAGAATGAGGAGGATTGCAATGCAGACCTTGAAAAGGTAGAAGACACGCTTCGCGAGTTGACAGAGTTGTGCAGCGACATCAAACTGTTCATGGCCCACACTTCGTGCAATTCCGCCTTTCAGGAGGTGATCCAATCCGCCCGCAAGTTTCACTCTGAAACTCTTGCCATGATGTCTTCTACAAGAAAACTTGCCACCATCCTCATGGTGTCTGATGTGATGCTGAAGGATGTCATTGACAAGGACAGTCTTCAGAAGGTGTTGGGACTATGCCGTGATGGCATAGGGACTTCCAAGGAAGACCTGCCGGTGAAAATGCGGAAGATCATGGCCGATTTGGATGGCAAAGCCAAATCCCAGCCTCAGTCCAGAAAGAGAACACCACCTGAGGACACTTCCGGAACAGCTCCCAAAAGGGCAAAGAAAGATCAAGGACCCAAGCAGCCTAAGGAAGTGCCCAAGGAAAAAGAAAAGAAGAGAAAGGCAGACAAGAAGTGATGGACGGAGTCATGGGCATGCGGCGTGGGTGAAGTAGCAATAGGCAGTGGAGCTCATAACTTCAGCTCCGATTTTGGCAGTGGCCTATCGTGGCATGAGCACATGCATTTGTGTAGTCAGGTTCAACCTCCGTTCCATCTAGTCTTGCAGTTTTCTTTCATTTGTGAGCAAACATGTTATATAATTTGTTCACATGGATTTCAACCTAGTTATAACCCCTTTGTGAACAATTTCCATCCAAATCATTTTTCCCAAACAAACAGTTTCATCATTGTAAGATCACTCAGTGCCATTGCCTCCTTAGTTTGTGCCAGCCAGGGCCTAAGGCCTATGAATCGACTCTGACTATGAAGTGGTGAAAAGAATACTGTGCACAGCAGCAGTGACTAGGATCCTGTCGCCCCCTCTCCTTGTCCATATTCACTTTCCTCTCAGCAGTCTGTTGGTAGCGGCCACTATACTAAAATAAGATTACACCCTGTGGCGTTCTGTGATGTCCACCTTTGCAGGAAATGAAGTGGACAAACATTTATTACATCTCATTCATATCATATCATATTTCAGTTGCATAAGGTGTTACGAGGAGTTAGGCCTCCCACAGGATTTGTTACATGAGGTAGTGTTGGAGACGTATACAGCCAACAGACAGAGAGGCCAGAAACCAATCTAAGGTATATGTCAAACAGCGGATCCGGCGGACCCCTGAAAAAGAAACCAAAAGAACAGTCCTTCAAGCCACTGGTCTCCTAAACACCAGCTAACAGTCAACATTCCTCTATCACCCGATCTCCCCCCGGCTGACCATCCGGAACCAGTGAGCCTTGGCAAAGAAGGAGAGTGTCTCGAAGAACTTCCGGTTGGGCTTGCCAAAGATATCCAGCACGTGGCTGAACAATTGCCGCACCGAGAGCTCTTGCGGGCACCAGTTGCGTGCGCCTCGCGCGAGTCCGCACTCCGTGGGAGTCTGCAAGGGTCTGCTTGGTACGTTCCTGCAGTATATAAAGCCTTTAAGGTACGGAACTACTCCGCCAGCTCCGCAGCGAACTCCGAATCAATCGAAAAAAAACGGCCGATGGCGTCCCCCCTCAAAGGCACCTTCCATGGGCAAAACCCGCAAGTTCTGAGTGGAGTCGAAACCCATCTCCTTGCAGAACTCCTGCGGAACTCGAGGACGGGGAGTTCAAACCGGTGTCGTGGGCGTTCACGAATGGCGGACCATGTTTAGGGTGTTGACTTCCTCCCATTCGGAGCCACGCGACTGTAGTCTTGACGAATCGACGTATCAGAGCCAGTCTGGTGTTAGTTCCCCGAAAACCGGCAGAACACCGGCACAACATGTTAATGGCACGAATGCAAACACGGCAATTGAGACATCCTGCCCTTCCTTGCACCAATTGAGACATCTCAAAATGAGGCCTCCCATCAGATTTTGGTCTATATATATTATAACATATATTACCTATATAATATGTAAGCCGAATCAGTTTGCCAGGGCTCCCCTTCCTTTCAGCCACATCGTCACATTGTCATACCCAGCCCACACACAGTCACTATCAAATCGCTCAGTGTAGTGTACAGAGGTGCACAAAAGCCAACCAAACCATGGACAAGAAAAACCGAATCAACTGCACCAGCCAAAAAAACAACACCAAAAAACATATCGTCAAAGTCCATAAACTACGTTTCGCCACAAAGCACCTGGTTTACAGCATGCCTTATGAGAAGTCGAGAAGGGCCACAAAGAAACGCCAAACCTTGACGCCACAACCACCACGACGCAGTCTCCACTACTTAGTGTCTCCACCTCGCCTCCACCTTGTCAACCGGGTTCCGCGGCCAAACGGCCAGGGAATCGCCGGTCTTGTAGCTCACGGGCGTGCCCTCAATCCTGCCGTGCTTCACAAAGAGGGGATGGCTCGAGTGGATAGCAGCAACCGGGATTCCTTATCTATCTACAAAAAAAGAAAAATATATATATATTATATACCACCTGTTGGAGGTGGCCCATCTACTCTGAGTACACCCATTACTATAAATATATGTTTGGAAAATCCTGGAATGATATGTCATGAATCACCATGAATCCCCACATCAGGCTGAGGCTGCATCCCCCACATAGAACATGTAATACGCGATGTAGTCCCGGAATCGTACACGGAAAAACGCAGGCTACCCTGAATCGATGATGGTACCTGATACCCATCGTTGATGGGAGGATGTCCAAATGTCCGAGTTTTAAGACTGACATTACCTGGAACCCATTTGACTTTTGGGTGGTTGGTGGTCCAGGACCTCAGGTTCCAGGACCTCCGCCAAGCCCAGGCAGTATGGCAACCAGTATGATCCAGTCGATTCTCCGCTACGAGGCTTCGACGAATCTGTAAAAAAAGACGAAGGCGGGCGGTGGCATCGGGCGGTGGCCCCTCTGCGAAGCCCCGCAGATTTCCGAGTCGAGGAGCTTGAACTCATAGTGCCTCGGCGTTTGGACCGTTCAACGGCTTCTTTCAAAAGGAGGTGTGAGTCAGATGAGGCAAACATGTTTTGGAAAAGATCCATCAGGAAATTGCATAGGTCACACGATGTTCACCACTACTTACTTGGGAATGCAGTCAGGAGTTTTGACCATGTCGATCATGTTTCTTAGAGATCGAGATTGCAAGCCACCGAGTGAGTTCAAGCCACACAGGACCAGAAAAGTGTCATTGAAAGGAAGGTGGTTTTCCAAACCTCGGGCTGCAAGGTTTGGATGACCTGGCTGCCGAAGAGAAGTCCGCTTGGCAGAAGTCCAGTACCCCACATGAAATGTCTGAAAATCCTTGAAAGAACAGTGACTGCCAAAAGCATTTGAGATATTTTAGGCAAGCCCTCGAAGTATGGCTTTTCACCACCGGGCGCCAAAAATTAAAAAGACTGAACACTGATCTGTCTGGAGACCGCAGAGTTTCTGATGCTATGAAGTTGGTAGAGGTGTTCACTGGATTCAATGGAGGTTTACCAAGTGTTACGCAGTCGCTTCATTCCCGATCAGCATCCTCATACATGGGCATGGTATCAAAACCGACATACGTAGATTCTTGCAATCCTCTCCATTCGAGTCCAGCCCCCCCGCGCACATCTCTGCACATCTCCACACATCGCGCGCCTGATGTCGCGATCGTACTTCTCCGGCACCAGCAGGGAGTTGTGCAGCAAGGTGAGCTTTGCGGCACCCGGCGGCACGATGTCATCGTCGCTGATGGGAGGCTTGCCGCTGCCACCTGGGGCGGTTTGCGGCCGTGGAGGGCCGTGGAGGAGGGGAGGAACGAAGGACATCAAAGACCCCAAGGCGGCCCTGGTTTTCTTGGAGAACATGAAGCTGTCGATGCGATCGGGACGTCTGTTTGCCACTTTGAGCTCTTGATAGACTGGAGCATCCTCAAACAAAGGCTCGAGTCTCGACGTGCCGAAGCTAGGAGTCGACAGGCCGAGCTAGCGTTGAAACTCCTGAAATACATGCGTCTCAACAGGCGCAAGCTGCTGAAAGAGCCATGTATTCTAGCTCATTTTCTAGCTCCTCACCCTGACTTTCTAGCTACTCACCCTCAGAGTTCAGAGACAGGTGAGTTCTGCAAGGCTGCATCCGCATTATGTGGATTCTGGGCAAATCCCTTTGACTCAGTGACTTGGGTTGCTCAATACGGGGATCACCCTCGTGAATGCAAAACCACAAGCGCGCAAAACCACGCAAAGGACAGGCCAATATGTGTGCAATGTTACACCCAAGCATTTAAGTGTGTATATATGTAGGGATAACTTCCTGGTTCACTACCACGGCGCCACACAGGGCAGAACTGCACTGCACTCGCCCACCCAAAAACGAACATACACACAAAAATTATGCCCTGCCAAACTGTCAGCTCATCGAGCCCGTCGTGGGCTCTTCCTTCCCCACCGAACCCGCTGACCCTGCCCAGGGCCCCAGCTGACGTCTACGCGATAGCAAGGGGCTGGCGCCTCCTGAAAAGCTCGAGGAGGGGCGCAGTCACGAACCTGACTGTAGAATCTATCATGTAAACTCTTGTTGACTAAAACCCCCCAATTGGAGTGTCAAAACCTCTTCCAATATGGTACTGTAGGGTTTTATTCATCGGGAATCTACATGATATATATTAAATATAGACGTTGTATTCAACTATAGATGATAAATAGCTCATGTGGTGAAGAAAAGAAAAACATATTTGTCAGCCATCAGGCACCCAGAAAAGGGCCACGAAGTCTCATGTTCGGTCATGAAGCTTTGAAAGACGGCCCGGGGCTTTGATCCCTACAGGGAAACGACAATGCCTCAGTCCCCCATGGTTTGGGGGTAGGACTTTTGTAAGTTGCCTGTATGTGGTCTGGAGAGGATGGCACAAACATCAAAAACACCATGTGCATGCCTCTCCTTTTTTCGGGGCATCGCAGGAACACATAGGACTTGGGTGCGCGTTTGAAGACAGCTTTTCAACATGCATGCGCAGGCCAACGCCTTTTGGAGAGACACTTTCACTAAACACGAACCCCCAAATTCCCCAAGAGCCCTCCTTCCCCCTCACTCCGATTGGCACCCCGCGCAACCGCATCATCGCGCCCGGAAATGGCACCATTCGCCTGCGAGAGAGGCATCTGTGGGAGGCCCATGACCTTCCAAAGCTCTGGCAGCCATGCCTCCCAGCCGGTGTAGTAGCGGTCCTCGCGGGAAACACCAGAAGCAGCAAAGCACCGTCTCGAAACGAAAGCGAGCAGCCAGCGGGTTGCAAGCGCCAAAATGTCGGAAGTCCAGAATGTCTGGTTTGGTTTGCCTGGAGCATCCCTACATTGTCCATGGTGGTGTAGAAATGACATTACGCGTATAATATGCAAAAGTTCAAACCTTCATCACCATGTGAAGAGAAACCCCCGGCGGGGCCCACCCCTCCATCACCTGAAAAACGACGGTTCACGTCGACCGACCTGACGTCCGCCGGTCCGCCGGCCCCCGGTCCTCGTCGCGGTCGTCGCCCACGCCGCGCTTCAGGAGGCGTTGGCCGCCCAGCTCGCCGAGGCGCGTGTCGAACTGAATGGCCGCCACGCAGAACTGGCCTGACCATCGATGGGTCCCGAAAGCACCCGTTGCTTCGCTGATGCTGCAACGATCAGAGGGTCGGCACATGCGTAGGCCGTCAGAAGTTGTGGTGATCCTGGTGGGAGGAGGTTCGGTGACTTGGCGGGTTGAAGTGGGGGCGTTAAGTGGGTTTGGACCCTCGTAGCACAAATTGGTCTTAACTCCATGCTTGGTGTTGACTAACACACAGTTTGATGGTAGCAAAAATGCAGCAAAACGGCAGCAACCATACAGCCACAAAAAGGAGACCCAAAAGATCAACACGGAACTCAACAAACAAGTTGGTCCTTTCTCAGAATCTACTCCTCATTTCTCTTGCTGTGCAATGTGGGTTGCAACCGCCTGGCTTTTAATCCCCGGGCCCTGGATGTTTCAACCACCCAGCCTGACCCCCCAAACCCCTTCCGCTGTCCGCCGCTGTCCCTCCGCTCCACTCCGTCCGGGACGCTATAGGTGGAGTCACCTAGCCCGAAGACGGCGAACTTCGTGCCGGAGAGCCAACTCATCGGTAGGTCCTGAGGTTCGGCCACCCGCAAACGGCTTTCTGGAAAAGAGGGCATGCAAACGGTTGGCTCAGCTGTAGGTGGGGTGTCTATACTGGTGTCTATAATTATCTATATATATATATATTTATATACTATTATGCGCATGTGTATAACTGTATATACATATATATACTGATATATATATATATAATATATATATATAGATAGAGCATTATATAAATATATTATATAATATATATATTGTCATCTGTGTCTGTGTATCAAGGCTTTCTGCACTGCTGCTATGTAAATGATTTCACTGTATAGACTCTCTTCAAAAAATACCCATCGGAACACATCCGAATCGGCACATGATGCTTGATCGCAAAGAAGAACCCTCGTGTGGAGTCTGAAAAGTACCACAAGACTTAGCTCAGGTGTTCAGCTCCTGGGATTGGAGTTTCAACCAGGTCTGCTTGCAGTTGGCTGGGAATTCGCCCAGGCCACAAGTGGACACCACCAAAATCACCTGGGTGCGAAGCATACGCGTCAGACGGTCACCCGAAAACTCATGAAGGATACCAAGGGTGTGAGTCCACAACCAAAACTTGCCGCCCTGGTTCGCTTGACGTTGACAAATCCTGCATCTTTCTCTATTTCTGTGGGATGCATGTACATGTATGTCCCCTACAGACCTGCAGTCTGGACTAATTCTTATGCATGAGACCCTAAAGACTGACTTTTGTGCAAATGAACATGGAACCCCAAGAACCACCAGCTTTGTAGAGGAAAATGCTCTTCCACCGGTGCCATCAAGGGAGAAACTCGGAATCTGTGAAGCCGCGGCCAAAAAGTGCTACCTTCTACCAACCTCTGTCGAGTGATAAAGCAAATGGCTTGGGATGGCTTGGGTCTATCCGGAGTCTATCCATGTCAGGGCCCAGGCGGATGATTGATGGTTTAGTTGCAGACCTTGTTCCAGTGATTTATTTGTGAAACCTGACCGTTCGGTCAGGTCGGACAGACCCAACGGATGCGCAACGGGAGCCAGTCCTAGCCGAAGCCCAAGACCGCTCTGAACATCACGAAGCCCCGCGGCAGGGCCATTTCGGCGTCCGGACCCCATCGCCCATCGCCCGCCCAAGGCAACACCGCAGGCCGCTCGGCAACGTGCCCCGCACCACCGTGCGACACTCCGCCGATCGGCTCCGCCCCGAAAACGGAGCCGCTCGCGGCCGTCTCGGTTGGCTCAGACCCAAGGGGCCAACTTCTGGTTCGGCAGCTCCTCGAAGTCGAAGTCGTCACAGCTGCTCACCTGAGCCTTCAGTCCACGTGCGCGGATGTCCTGCGGGTCTTTTTGGGCCCGATTCGTGCGGCTGCCGATTTTTCTTTCAGGTTCACCCGAGTCTGCCAGGTAAAGAGGTGTGGGGCCGATGTTGAAGGTCTGGTGGCCGGATGTTTCAGGTACCCACAAGGGGAAGAAGGAGAAGAACGCCACTCATGAACCAACTGGGCCACAAGCATAATTAGTATCATCATAATATCGTATCTTCATTGTTCAGCTGTGAAAGGCAGGGTCTAAGACGGTTCTTCGGACGGTTCTTCTTCAGCTGTTTCAAGATCTTACGCAGTGTCCCCTCGAACAGAACCAGAACCAAACTGCTCAGAGGCTGAACCTACCTCTCCTTTGATCCAGAACCGTCGCCTGTGCCATGTTCGACCGCACCTTCGCGTGGTTTCGGGGACAAGACAAGTGAAGGAGTCCATCTTCCCAGCTCTGACCCCACTGAGGCGTTGCTGCGCTCAAATGGTCCCTTCTAAAAGCCCCATGTCTCGACCTTTTTGTCGGTGTGAGTTCTAGCCAGATGTTCATCCAGATCGTTCCGTACAACCAGAAATTCCAACCACCAGAAACGGATGGACGGTTCCCCACACCCAGCCACTTCCTATATATGTAAAGGATCTCAACTGCCGGAACAACGATGTGTTTCTGGTTGTTTGGGTTTCCAGGTAGAAGATGCAACGACGGACGACCATTTTTTGGAAAATGAATGCAGCAAGAACTCGCTAGCATTCAACCATGCGTTTGCTGCATTGCTCATCCCCAAGCAAGAAATCGACCAATCCCAGTCTTCCTCAATCCAGGCTTTGGGGGTGTCAAAATCGAGTGAGCGTCCCATCCAAGACGAAGAAGACCTCCCAAAGAAGACCACGTCCTGCATGAGATTCTTCGCCTGCTCCTCGGAGTTCCCCGTCTCACTGCCGTACAAGATGGTGACCTGGCGCAGATACTGCGCGGATACGGCGCCGGAAGCCGAGCCGAACTTGAGATGGCAGAGTCGGTACCGAACCAAAACGTGTCGAAAGCCGAACTCCGCGGAACGCCACAGACGGTGACTTCCGAACAGTTCTCCAGACAGAGAGAGAACAAGTCTGCACAGAGAGAGGGAGAGAGAGAGGGAGGGAGAGAGAGAGAGAGAGCGAGGGAGCGAGGGAGGGAGGGAGGGAGAGAGAACCTCCGAACTGCCGAGAAATTGGCACAGAAGGACTCCAGGTGCCGTATAGACAGCACGATTCCAAGTGTGGGGAATCCAAATCCTCCAACTGGTGTCGCCAAGGATACCCGTGGGTTCCTGTGGGATGGCAGGATGGATGTATATCCTAATCATTTCATTCAAATCCAATGCACTGCTTTTTTTGAGCAGCTCGGACTGAGCCATCCAATTAGTTCATATTTCCGCGGTCGATATGTCGAGCCAAGTCCCTTTTTTCACCAAGTCCTGCCAGTGACTCCCATGTCTCCACTGCCGTCCACTCTCCCGCGCCATGTCCGCGGTGGACTTCGCATCGGACAAGCCCTCCACCAACTTGCTGAACTGGCCTTGTTCGCCGCGCGAGTTCAGCGAACTGCACGGTCTTCTGCGAGTTGCAGCGGTCCGCGAAGACGCGAAGACGCGCAGACAGATGGAAGGGTGTTGCCGTAACACAAAAGGATACGAGTCAAGGATGAATCCTCCACTGGTGATAGATCACGGTGGGAATATGTGGGAATGGTGTTGGAAAAGTTACTCAAGGAGGGCCATTGGAGTCTGTGGTGAGCCCCGGACCAAGTCAAAAATGATCAAAATGATTGATTGAACGGCATCAACAACCCTCTTGTATGAAGAGTTGTGGTAAATAGTCAGTCTTCTACGTTCCTTTCTGGTCATCAGTTTGTCATCGTAACACTGACTTCGTGAAGCGTGTACTGCAGCTGTTTACATCTATGTGCATAAAATATACATATATATGATGTCCTTCACCTAAGACTGCACAAGCAATGGTTTTGGGGGCCTAAAATGTCGGCATTCCATGTCAAAGACATCAATAAACAGGGCGATTTGTGGAGGCTGCTTACCACAAGCAGGGCAACCTGTTTCAGCAAGCCCTGTAATCAGGTGGAAAACATGGCGACACAGGGCAGCCCAGAGACCGGTGCATGTTCCTTCTATTCATCTCTTTTCTACCACGCTTACCAGAAACCAACCATGAAAGAAAGACCCGAGAACCTGAGAAAAGAAACCAACGGTCCAACGTCCAATGACGAAGACAAAAATAAAACAGTCCACGCGACTCCTGTCGCCATTCGTAGTCCGTCTTCCACCGCCACAACACACGTGTAACTGTAATGGTCGCTGAGGAGCGCTTTTCCAAGGGGAGCAACATGAACGCAGTCGAACGATGTCGAACGCTGAAAACCGAAACCGAAGGGATCCGGCCCGAACGAACGCATTCGGCCCGGTCGGTCTTCTCGGAGGTTGCCTTCCAAATCCTCCTTGTTCAAGACCTGAACATGCTGTCCGGGACTCGGTGTCGGGTGTACCCCCTGCTGCGTCCGGCAGTTCAACCACCTCTCACGAAACTCTTCGAGGGTCTCCTCACCAATCAACGAAATGACACCGGATATGGAAGTTTGGAGTGACAGGATGTTGCAGGATGTTGCAGGATGTTGCAGGATGTCGTGTTGGCGTTCCCAGAAGGGAACGGTGCGTATCATCGCAAGGCAGACGGCTCTGCCCCGGAAGACGGCTCGACGATGGACTTTTCAGTCAGTGGTCGACAGGAGAAACAACCAGCCACATGCATTGAGTCCCAAACCAAGAAAGAGGCACAACATGTACACCTCCCAATGTTTTGGAGCTTGAGGTATTAACCTATGCAGCTTGGAGCCCGAAATGCTCATGTGACCCAAAATTATCCTAGCTCGTCTTCCCATCTGTGCCTGAGCCAGTTGCCTATTGAAAAGGCACTCCCCAAAAAGGGCGGGGGCATTAATTCTGCATTCTTATTTTTTGCCCCTGGCATGTATATTTTGGTGGGATTTTCTTGCTCCAAGTAAAATGAATGTTGTTCTTGTAACTTCCTGCTCAACTTCCTTCTAGATTCAAATGAATGTCCCGTCTAAGTTGTTAAGGGTCCTTCTACATTCCTGTCCAATTTCAACATGGAATGTTTGTCGGAATGCAGCGGGGCCACACACCAAAATAGACGACATCACAAAACCCAAGTAAAAAAGGACATACATTTTGTGCAAATCACCTTGACCCCAGGCCCTCGTTCGTCCTGAAACGGATGGCAGCTAAGAGACACCCTTTAACAGCTATCGGTGTGCCCTTTTTTCGGCACAGCCAAGGGCCAAGAAGCCACCCAAGAGCGCCACCAAAAGGAAACGACAGGGCATAATACCATTAAGCAAAAGAACCAGACCGAAGTACATATAATTTGAATAATCCCCCCAAATGAAAGACATGGAACAACCTCCTGTTTTCTTGAATGGCCCCGTTTCGCATCCAAACTCAGTGCTGCTGTTCGTTCACGTTCGGTCACTCATGTTCGCGCCTGCAAGAGGTGGTTCTTCTGCACCACGGCCTCCTGAAGCTTGTCGTCCAGCTCCTGCGGCTGGTCGTCCAAGCCCGGCTTGTCGTCCGCAAAAGCCACTCAGAGCCCGGTCGAGGAGCATCCGTCATATACGGCGGGCCACGGAGTCGGGAGGTTGGAAGGAGTGGAAGTGCGAAGGAGGAATCGATTCCTCCAGTTGCTTCGCCTTGCATCGATTGCATGATCTTGGCATGAGAAGATCAAAGGGAAGGGGTTGCTGACAATAGATCTGAATATGATAGATCTGAAAAGCCTCAATGAGAAGACCTGAACATTGGCTGAATTGAATAATAATTAAAGTACCATTTGAGAAACATTCAGGAAAGATAAGAAAAGTTGCAATTAGGTCTCAAACAAGTCGATCACAACTATATATCTGCATGCAAAGCAAATTGCACACCCTAGATATGTCTTCAGAAGGAAACTGGAGGGAACATCAGCCCCTACCATTTGGTTCACTGCGCCATAGTAGTATTTCAAAGTGCTTCCATAGGGTCGTCTGTCTGTGCTCTGGCGAGAAAAAACAGAAAACACACACACACCACTCATCCAGAAACTCTTCCCACCCAGCTTCTGAAAAAGCTGCCTTTTCCAGGCGCCCCCCGCTCATTCACGCCGCTCGAACGCCGGCGCACGCACAACGCAGCGGACCACGACGACCGCTCCTGCGCGTGCTTGGGGTCTCGGCGCATGACCGCGGCAAAGCGGTTCTCCTGCGGCTCTCCGCGTGCTGCGTGCCGGTGGTGCGCGACCGCGTGCCGCGCCGCTTTACTCTCGCCGGCGGTCGGAATAGTTTTCAGACGCCCTCGATCCGATTTCCAGGGGATCCAGGATACAGTGAATCACATGAGCACCCACATGCGCATTCATGAAATAGATTCGCTTGACCCAGTTTTGACCCATGCCGGGTCTCCTTGGCGAGGAACTTGAAGAGATCTCCCTTGATCTTTCGGGAATCCAACTGGAAGGGGTTGTTCCCATGCGCGGAGGCTTCCGGGTTGTAGCGGTACAAAGGCCAATAACCTCACGCAGCGGCTAAAGGCTCAAGGACATGATCCCGGCAAGATGATGACCATGCGTTTAGCAAAGGGGCTCTAAAAGTTGTTTTGTCATGTTTTTCATGTCTTTTTGTCCAATCGCTATGAATCTAAGGAGTGCTTTCGTTTGTGTTTCAATGCAAAAACTGCAAAAACCACGGTGCCTTTCTATGATTCAGAATCGGCGAACTCCCCAAAATCCAGGTCGACTGCATGGATGGATGGCATTGCGTCGGTCGATCCGGATGATGTCGGTCGATCCGGATGGGGCGTGGGGCGACAAACGTCGCGCATCCGAGGCGCCACTGTCGACGGCCATCTGGCAATGCTGAATCGACTCGGCCATAGGGAAGCCCTGACCTGGGACGTTGCAAGGCACAACGGATCGGCATCGGGTAATGTTTTTCAGTACCTCTATTCGGGTGGGAAGCGGGGTTGTACAAGTGTTCCAGTCCTCATGGAAGGGATCTATCTATCTACATGTCACATGTGTAAAATCACCATTCCAAGGCCCTTTTGCACCTGAGACTAGCAGTGTAGAGCCAACGTCGAGTGCACGAGGGGACCACTGGTAGTCGTTGAGCTGGCCGCGTTGGCTTATTTGTTTGGAAGGAGAAGCCAAATTGCTTTGGTCAAGTCCAAACTAAGACCAGTCGTTTGGCATCGTTTGTCCCTCAAGCCGTCACCCGACAAAACCTCCGACGTTGATCATCGGCTTCACGTCCTGTCTGGCTCGACCCGTCTGGCTCGTTCGATGAAGCACCCGCAGAAGGGTGGAGGACACGAGGTGAAACACCATCACTTGGGGTCTGATCATAAGATTTTGCCGAATTCCATTCGAAATTCACATTCCAAGTGACTGATGCAAGGAGCGTAGGCCAAGATGATGCTCGGTCCTCACAGGAAGTGGAGGAAGGTGCCAGTGTGCTGTGTAGCCATCGGAAGGTGGGCACACCTGTCTTGGTTGGGCAATGTTGGGCAACACCTGCAGCTGTATCAAAGGTCTGTGATATAAATGGGAGATACTTTTCGGCGAGGAAGATCGTGAAGATGTGTAGTTTGGTCTTTTCAGCTGGACGAGAGGGACGAGAGTTCGGGTGCTCCTGCGTACGCATCAGCCTCGATCATGGCGCGCACCGCCTGTTGAGGGTTCACATGGACGCAGATGCTCGCCACATAAACCTGCACTAACGTCTCCCGGCGCTGTTGAGAGAAAAGAGAAAGGTCATGGGTGGGTGTCCGGTCATTGGAAGGTGTTTGGAGTATGATGTGAAAGCATATCCGCCGACCCCGCCGGTTGAAGGGGGCGCGCGCCAGAGAAGGCAACCGAGGGCATGCTGGAAGCGTTGCGGAAGGTCTGACAGCTTGAAGCGTTGCTGAAGGTCCGACAGCGGAAGACAGGGCGTGCGCGACGCTGCTTCACAGACTTGCTTTACGGGGTCCGAAAGCGACGTTAGAGATTCTGGGGGCGTACCGGGAAGCGCACTTTCGGGCGATTTTTGGTCTCGAATTAGATTGTGGAAAGCTGTGGCGGAGGAAATCACTCGGAACAGGTGTCTACCAGCCAGAGGACCCGTGGGAGGTGAGAGAACGGCTTCTTGTGCGCCAGCCAGAGGACCCGTGGCCAGAGGACCCGTGGGAGGTGAGAGAACGGCTTCTTGTGTACCAGCCAGAGGACCCGTGGGAGGTGAGAGAACGGCTTTTTCGATGCTTCCGAGGCGTTTCCGTGACAGCCGGCGGCTTGAAGCGTGGCTGAAGGGTCGAAAGCGGAAGATGCTTCCGAGGCGTTTCCGTGACAGCCGGCGGCTTGAAGCGAAGACAGGGCGTGCTCGACGCTGCTTCACAGACTTATTTTACGGGTTCCGAAAGCAACGTTAGACATTCTGGGGGC